CTAAAAATACAACAAGCCCTGCTGAGGGGAGGAGCACATTAAAACAAGCACTGTGTTCAAAAGAATAAAGCCTCACTGAGAAGAGCTCCCTCTCTATTTCTCCACCACTATCTGACTCTTCATAAGCATGGTCCCCTCCTAACTCCATGAGCAGCCCGGGTTCATTTCTCATGTCCTACCAGCCAGAAAACGTGCCTAACCCAGCCGAGGCATGTGTCTGCATCACAGCTTTGCCCTCCCCAAGGGACGAGCTTGCCTCAAGAACCAGCACGACACCCCTGTTGCTATAGGAACAACAGAGCAGTAATCACCAAGGTCTTAGTATAATTCACATATCATCCTTACTAGCTGCACAGCTTCCATTTGCAGATTTGCCTGAGCAGTGACTTCAGAAAGCCAACTGCTAGCCTACCATTAAAATGTAAGTAACTGGGACACAGGAAACAGGGTGTTTTGTGCAGGAGATGCTTCTGTGTATATAACTTCCTGAGAGGCATTTTGCTTGTATTAAAAATAAGCGAGAAAGCCTTAATTTCATCCTTTCAAGCTCAAGAAACCTAATGAGCCCGAGCTGCGTTAGTTCTTGCTGCAATGCAGGGCAGACAAGTAATATGTTGATATCTCAAAACAGCTCATGATTACATCCACTCGCCAGCATTATACACTGGTGGGACAGAGATGCCTTTGGGTTCTTCAGTTATTCTTGGAGCCATAAAAGCAAAATAACAAGCAACCCACAGATGTTAGCTAAAAAGCTCCTTGAGTAAACAAAAATGCCCTGTATTTTGCACTTTCATATAGGTGTTACCAACATTACAGCAATGATGGAAAAATAAAATGGATCTAAAAAAAGTGAGTATGACATTAATGTTCATTCTCTTAATTCTAAATGTAAGTATTAAACACCTTAGCTTAGAGTTTTATAGCTGTTTTTCATGCTTTCCTGGGATACTGACATCCCATCCTCTCTGCTACCAGCCCACCTTTCAATGGATAATAAAGTATTCTTAATGCATCAGATAAGCCTTATAACTGTCAGGGATGTAACACGACTGCCTGGATCAGCTGAGGAAGAGAATGGGTAAGAGACCAAACTATTAATAAAACCAGCTAAGATAACAAACTATGAACAGAATCCAGATATTGGAACTACCTAAACATTCCTTGCTCTTCCCGTCTTGGATCCTTCACAGATCTGTTGCTCTAATATATGCTGCAGTTTATGAATGTCAAGACTTTAGAACACATACTAGAAAGATATGCACTGATTTCAATTTGATACTTGCTACAGCACATTAGAGAGCCCTGGACATGCCATTACTACCTGATCTACACAAAGATACTCACTAATGCAATCAGAATAAGTTTGAGTTTCCTTATACAGTGCAGATGCTTCAAGGGTGAAAGTCTTCCAAATGTATGTTTCAAATGTAAAAGGAAATCTATCAACAACCTTAAAAACACAGTAATTTTGTATGGCTGAACTGTTGAATTCCTTTTGAAAGCAAGATGGGATATAAAAAGAGAAAGTTGAAATTTCTCCTCTTCCTGTAAAGATATGCACAAACTAAAGGGGAGCCTTGGACTTCAGGCTTGCTTGGAAATTACAGAGCTATTCCAACACACTTCTGGCTCAAAACTGACTTCTACAGCTGAACCCTAAGCCAGTAAGTGGATTATCAGGGAGAAACTTTAAATGTCAGAGATATTGTTATGAATATTGGCTCACTGAAGGTTTATGGCACAAGCACTTGAATTCAGCAGGGACAAGTGTGAACTTCTTCAATGCACTGTCACGCTGCTGCACATACTATCTTGGACACATAGGTTGCAGTGACTCCCTGTGGTCAAATAGAGTCAATAAAGAAGCTGACAGATCTTTATCAGAAGCTCTAGCAGGGAGCACCATACAGTGCTAAACTGTGCAGTCCTACCTCAGGTCAGTACTATGAGGCCACCAGCCAGCTGCTCTAAGGCAGTATTTCATGGACACACAACAAAACAAAAGCATGAACACGGTAACAGAGGCTGTGATACACTTAGAAAATTCCAGACCATCCGTTCTCTGTACTTTTCTCAAAATACAACAGCAAAACAAAGAAGCAAAACGACCTTTCTGTAATTCTGGAGCCAGACTTCAGCATTTTTAAGTGACACACAAAAATCTGCAGGTCTCTAACAAAGCTTTTGGAGTGCTAAGGCCAAGGAATGTCATTCCCTTTTTTGGAATGAAATGGGGGTATGAAATCAGCTTTCTGTCTTCTGCATGCCTGCTGGTGGAAAACGACTCTAGAGAACAATCTGTCCTACTACTGAAAGAAAAGATTGTGAAATCCACTAACATACTAATACCTCTTTGTAAGTTATCCCTTCAATAACGCACCTTTTGGTTGTGTAAGGCAAGTTGCACAAAGGAGAATAAAAAAAATCCTCCAGAGGAGATTAAATGAAAACAACATAAAAGTAGGGAAGAAAATTCCTTTAAGCAATCTTGAAGGACACAAACCATTTCAGTACTTCAGTGTGTGGACTTGGGCTTGGGTTTTTCAGCGCAAGATAATGCCATCTAGTGGCAATGGAATCTCCCTTTCGATGGAAAACTGGACACCTGCGCGGTTTGTATTCTCCAATACTTTCCTAATCCGACCCTACCTGAAGGTACAGACAGCAATAACCACTGCTACAAGAGCCAACACACTTGAGAGCAGAATTATCACATCTGACTGTTAGAAACCAGGAGTGATTTCTAAGGAAATCAAAGTCCTGAGCAATACATTACAGTTGCTTATGTCTATACAGCACACAAAGCTTCACCTTTCACCAAAAGAAAAGGTACCTGGCTAGGTTTCCTCATTTCCATTTGTTCTTCATGCTATTCACTAATTTCATTTGGAGAGATGGCATACCTGAATATGAGAACAACCAACATCCTTTCCCCTTTCTCTAAGTATTTATCTACTTTCTTTCCTTGGTCTTTATTCCCCTACCAAGAAAAATCTTAATGGTCAAACCACCAGATTAAGGTAGATTATGGAATCAAATCCAGGCAATACAGGACTATCAGATGAGATCACAGCAAGCACCAGCAGGGAGGACTTCACTGCCCTGGGGACAAAGGTTTAAGAATCTTCAAGGACTTCAAGAAAACAATGACAGACAAATCAGCATCTGTTCAAACATGGGACAAAGACAACTTTCTGAACAATATATGAAGCTCTTACATTTCCCGTATTGCACGGTGAGTGAGTGTACAAACAGACCAAGTAACTGCTGGTCTCCCTTTTGATTACATTTGAAAGTTATGTCAAAATTCATTTTTTTGACTCTCCAAAGCCCACGGCAAAGTGAGAAAACCTGATTTTACAGATAATAAAAGCAGACAGTTTAGACAAGAAAGATCAAGCTGTGCAGGAGCACAGCTGTGCAAAGCATCTGTGTTCCCTCGCTGGACTCCTGCTTTTATTATCTCTTCTTTGCCAAACTGCAGGTAATTCAACATGTATTTTCATTGTGAGAAATGGAACTATGTTAGGGATAACGCTAAAAAATGCCAATTGCAAATCAGTCAGTCTTAACTGAACATGTCTGTATGTTCTTGATGACAAAAAGGCAAATTTGTGCTTTAGACTGGCAGAAAAGTATAAGAATTCTGAGCCAAAATATACAAGTATCTCTATCTCCATCAATCCCCCAGCTATGCGAGGAATGAACACCCAGGCTTAAAACTGAAGAGCAAGTTTGTGCAAGTAATGGTTTGGGGTTTTTTATGTCTTAGATGTATATTAAATTTCTACTCAACTCAGTTCTGGCATACGAATTTTACAATTTCTCTTAAATTCTACATAATGTATGTGATCTGGCACAAGGCCTGTGAAGGGGAGAAAAAGAAATCAGATGGAAGCACTCAGGTTCAGAAGAGATCAGTAGATTCAGAGAGCAGCACCACACAATTGTTTACCAAAACCTCTGCAAAGAATTCACAAAAGCAGCGGGTACTTTATCCTCTTAATAGGCATCTAAACAAACCAAAGCAGATTTGTAAACCTATGGCTACTACCCCTGCCCTGGAATTAATTACCTCGTGCAAATTGAAGAAATGTGATGGGAAACCAATTCTTCCTATTGCTAGACTTTCCCTCTTTCTCTGCTGGAATAGTAACACTGCACTTCCACATTCATGGAAATGTGAAGTTAAAAAGATGTTGTTAGATGATTCCATTTTCTTTTGTGAGAAAAGTGTTATCAAGCAACTAGAGTCATAGTAACTAAATTATCACATGCATAAAACTGCTTTTGCACCTTAGAAATCTGTATCTACTTTACATTTTGTTTTGTTCTAAAACTCCCAGTTTGAAGCCTACAAAGAAAGTGTTTGGCACCCCCAGTCTTGTTCCTTTTTAAGCACAGACGTCCAGTTTAAGAATAAATACAAAATTCGGATGAAAGTCATCTTATACAGAGGATCCACACTGAATATAGCAAGATACATGTAGAACTACAGGACCTATGTATACCTGAATTTAACTTCCACTATAGCAAAAAGTCAATCAGGTTAAAAATTGTTTCTATTTAATTATTACATAGAGTAGGAAGATATATATATACACACACACACACACATATATACATGTATATGTGTATATATGCAGCTATACGTGAATATATATATAGCTATATATATACACACACACATGCATTAAGCCCATGGGACTATGGCCATCAATGTTTTGAGTTATAGAGAACAAGATGTTAAACAATGCTCTTCATCCTAATGAATCTTAGGTATAGCTAAGAGTGACTTTACCTGTGAGAATAAAAACACCTGTTGAACAGGACACTATAGCTCTCTTCCGAAGACTATAGCAGGCAATATCCCAGATCACAGGATGGGTTTAAGTATGTGGCATATCATTGTGGGAATACAGGAACATAAATTTGGTATTTCCTGAAGCTGTTCTCACAGATTAAGCAAACACAAGGCAAACAAATGCAGTACTCACCCTGATCAATTGAGTGTTGAGGAAGCTGGCTAAGTTGGCTATTCACTACACCCGCGTACGTGCGCAAGAACTCCTCTTCACTAGCGGTGAGCTGGAAAGGTACAGTCAGTCAGCAAAAAGGAGAACAAAGAAAGACTGAAGATATCTCCCACTTCCCAACAAGAAATGTCACAGTTGCCTCTATTCTACTCTTCAACAGCTTAGCCAACTGTGATTTGTGCAAACTGTATTTTCAGCAAGGACACATCATGCGTTCATGGAGAGATTCACAGTTGCCTTACAACAGCTGCTTTATTTTGCTGGTTTTCCAATAATGAAGAACTCTGCTGTACACAGAGAATGATCAGAAGCTCAGATTTAGTTTCAGGCATCACAAGCCTCATAATATTTAAGCTAAAAGAAATTGTGTTTAGCTGCAGATAATGGTTAAATCAATGATGGCTTAAACAATTCAACAATAAAACCAGACCATCACCTGCCCTTCTCAGAAAGCACTATGAAAGTTACTACAAAATTATCTGGAAAGCTACAAAGTATGAAGGGCCATGAAGGTGCATCTTACATTTGATCCCATCTTCCTCAGCATGAGCAGGACTCGCACTTTCTGCTGAATATACATCTCCTCCGGACTCTTTCCGGGGACGCCCTCACGGTTCATTCCCCTCCTGCCAGCTCCTGATTTCCTGAAGAGAAAAGAACAGAAAAAGACAAACTACAGCAGACAATAGGGCATAACAGGAATAATAGGCAAAGCTTAATTGCCAAAGCAGCTGTTTTTCACCATTGGGCAGAGCATTTAATAGCCTGGGGGATTAAGGAATCATGTGCTTCATCAGAGGAACCCTTAAAAACGTTAACAGCTCAATTGGGCCCTACCTATCCAACTCAAAGATTCAAAGAGGCTGATGTTCACATCCCTGCTAGCTCATGGTCTGTTCTTACATCCACTCTGCACAAGTAGAAGATAATTTTAACAACTAGATGAAAGAAGCACCCTGAGAGAAGTTTGTGCTTTCGGGGTTTTCCCATAAATAAGCACAACCAGCATGAGAACAGGATGCAGAATGCCCAGTCATCAAGACTGCAATGGCTAAACAAATGCTGATAGAATAAAGTAAGTCTTTCTCCTCTCTCTTTTTTATATCGTATAAAAAAGGTCACTGCACTTTTGTAGATGTTAATAAAATGTATTAAGTGGTTTTGGAGAGAACGAAGAGCTAAGAGGAGCAGAGATGGAATAGAGTTTATCATCCTTTCTTGTATCATTATAAAGCTGAAGTTTTGTTTTTCTATTTTAATAGAAAGTAATTACATTACAGTATGAACAGACTATGCTATCTAAATTTTACAGCACAGAGCATGATTATACTTTGTTGTCTGAGTATCTGGTAATTATTTAAGTTCCACAATAGGGTGTTTACCAAGACAAAGAAAATAAAAAAGTTCAGGCATTCTCTTCAGCTACTATTGAAAATTAGTTTGGAGCATGTTTATTAAGTTAACAATAGTAAAAACCTTAACTTCAAATTCAGAAAATAATGGTGCTTCAAATGATCCAGTAGTACAGCAGTGTAACAAACTGAATTAACCTCTTAGAAGTAATGTGTGAAGAAATGTAACCCTGCTAAGGAATCTGTGGATGGAAGTGTAAGCCAGCTACCCTTCCACCATGCACAGCTCCTCTAGAGCAGTGGCTGCAGACTAAAGGTCTCCCATTAGTTTTCATTCACACAACTGGGTCTGGTCCTATATTAAGCTATAAATCTGCTTTCCTGAACCTTAGGTAAATAATAAGGGCATACACTACACGAGGCACACTTAATGAAGACTATGACAGCAGGCTCAAACACACTATTTCCCATGTAATGTTTTCCTGTAGTCATTACCAACCTCTCCCCTCACTTTATTTTCATTATCACTTTTAAGGGAAAGTCATCTGGGTGTGGAAACAGTTTAAAATTACACATAGGCCCTCCTGAGTGAGTCACAAGTAATGCAAACTTCAGTGGCAGCTGCTGGGATAGGCTTTACCACCCACATTACTTAGCACGAAGATAACAGAAGCAAAAAGTGGAGAAAGATGTATCACCAGTCCTGCTCAAGTAAGTTTCCAGTGGGAAGATTTGAATTATGCTGATTTGCTACAGATGGCTCTGCTTGGAAACTTGCAGCCTGTAAATGTGCAAGGTGGTCATATTCTTTCTTGCTACGATCAGCGAACTGCTTTCTGAAGGGGGAATAAAATGATCCCATATTTCTGTGCAGTGTCAACTCAAATAAGCTGACTGGATTATGTTACTAAGCATATACTCCACAGAGCAATTTACTGAGTGCTATTGACAAGTGATGTCAACAGTAAGAACAAAACAAGGCAGCAGGCAAGAGATTTAAGTTATGTCTATCCAGAGAGTGATAAAGCAATAGACGTTTATCAAGATACCAAGTCTGAAAGGTTTGACAGGTTCTCAGTATTATCCTAATACATCCTTTTTTAATTTTATTTATTTTTTTTATATAGTTCCTTGAAGAGGGAAGGAGCTGCACTAGTAGCCAAAGAAATCAATTTAGACAAGAAAAAGCACAAAGCGAACACCTGAAATCTGATAACTCACCTATTGTTCAAAAATGGAACAAATTATATGGGATACCTATCAATAGGTGGCACCAAACACAAGCACCAAGAAAATGCCACGGCTGCCCCATGCCAGCATCCCTGTACACGTCAGATATTAAGAGATTTGTAGTCTATACATGACATTATTCATTATTTTCCACCACAGTAGTCTTTGTGTTGTTTATTAATCCTATTAATAATCCTATCTAAGCCTGGTTCTTCCAAAGCAGCTGAGATGGATTTATCATTATTTAACAGAAAGGCTAAAAATACTAAAGCCTGCTCATTCAGCAAATGCTTCACAAAGTGAGTAAGCAACCACCTTCGGAGAGGAAAAGTCCTCAGCATGGCTTAAAAGCTATCAAAATATATGTGTAAAGAGGTCAGATTAAGATCACAGAGCAACAGCACTTTGCTCTTCATACACTGCACAATTATTTTCCTACTTGATGACATTAAAGTAGAAAGACAAAACTCTTAAGACAGTATTGAGACACCAGCATGAAAAACTTTAACATATCTCTGCTCCTTTTACATAAAACATGGTTTAGGATGACAACACCACCCATCACTAACTTCTCAAAGCCACTTACAAAGCTACTCTATGCCCAGGTGACAGCACAATCCAGCTTTACAAATGAAGGACTGAAAAACCTTATCAAAGTCCTCATCAGCTTTGCCTTCTCCAGAAAGCAACACGTATATGCTACACATGATGAAACATGAGCAGTATTTCCCTAACCCTACAATTCCTTCTGGCACATAGATGAAGTTGTTGTTCCCCCATCCCCAACCAATAAAACATCCATTTCCCTGCCAACATACCTGCTTCTAAAAACCACAGAAGATCAGATAAGCCCCGTGTTCAGTCCTGATTAATGATCCCAGCTGGAAAAAACGAGGAAACTGCCCTGTGAAAACAAATGAGCAAAGCGTTACAGAAATACACAAAGCTGCAACCCAGAAAGACCCATTCAACTCAATCTGCTTTGAGCCGCAGTCTCCTTTAGAGCATGGTCTAGCCACAATTCATTACACTGTAGGCTTGTCTGGACTTTGTAGACCCTTTTTACTTTTAAAGAATAAGTTTTTTAAAGGTTAAGCCATTCTTCATCTGCAAGATTTACACCCTGACCATACCAATGACATTCCCAATCACTTGAGAATTGAATGCATTCAAGCTTCGCATTCTTTACGAAGCTCTCAGCATAAAACCCCACTCCCTGGAAAAAGCAATAAATGTGACATGCAATTTCTTCTAGTACAAAAAAAAAAAAAAAAATATTAAAAGATAGGTGTAGCTCACCAAAGATTTGAGGCAAACAAGGGAGAAATGTAAAGCATGCTGAGTTTGACCAAAATTACTGGTTTCAACTATGCGTATGTTATCTGAATACAGCAATTACCAAGCCTGGCACTTGAAAGCTGGGTTGGAAAATCCTTTGTGTAGAATCTTTCAGACCAACCTCACTGTTCAGTCCCCAACAGCTAAAAGTTACAGACTTTCATTTGTTTTAGACTCGTATTTCTGAACATACTTCACAACTGACACTGGGTATCAGGGCATGGTAAGAATCTCTCTCTCTTCCTATCTATTGCATTAAATGAAGTAACAGTTCAAACCCCCTGGAACGGGCAATGAAATACCAAGTGTCTGCTACTCAGGACAGCATCACAGCTAGGATCATGTCATTAATATTCTAAGTTGCTGTACTTAATTGTTTCTGATTAGGGAAGATACATATATATACACATCTGCACCATTTGTTAACAAAATCCAGCTTAAATTTACTAAACATACTCTCAAGTAGGTTTTCTGTGGTCAACAGGAGAAGGCAGATCTAGACTAATGCAATTTCTTTCATGGCTGTTTAACACCCCATGCAGATGTCATTACTAGCAGGGAAACAAGACAGGAGTAGCTGGAGCTACTCAACTGTTCTGTACACAGGTTCATCAGAGAAAAGCTGAATCCAAAATACCTGCCAGCTTCACCCACAGGTTCTCTACGGTGTCTCTTACTAACAAGTGTTGGAAGCAGCTGAGCTTTATCAATGGCTTAAAAGAATCATTTCACCTCTCCAGGTGAGAAAAATTGCCTGCTCTGAAAGGATTATTTAAGCCCTACCCCACTAATTAGTTCCCACTGTTCTTGCCCTCTAAATATGCAATGTAGTCTCCAGAAAGATCATCTACAGCACTGACATCAGGACCATTTGCAGTAACTAATCGCTGTTCTCATTTCTATGGACTTCAAAGACACCCCCAACAACCACCACTGTACAAATACCATACAACTGCATGAACTCCTTCCTAAAGGAAAGGATCTGGGCATGGGAAGTAACCACTTCTGAGATGCATTTCTGTCCTACTGACAGTAACAGCAGTTGAATTTCCCCATGTGCACCCTAAATTGCAAATAACAGTAATCTATATGCAGTTATTATGCTTAACACCAAATACAAATGAAAACAGGAAGATCAAACGTTTTCCTAACGCTGTAAATTCAGAGGAATCCAGCTGAGAACTGAAACAGCCGCTAAAAGCCATTTTCCAGCCAGAAGGCTTCTATCAGGGACAATTCCACTTCCAAGCAAAGCGTAGTCCCTGTACAAGGCAGCAGCAACACTCGGGACATGCTTTGTCCCATCCATGTGGTTGCCCCCAGCTCAGCCCACCTCACCACTGCCACAGCAAATACATGGGTGGAACATCAAGCTGGCACACAAAAGCTTCTCTGCTAAACCACAGGGCACATCCTCTGAATAACAAGTGCCTTTACTGCTAAAAGCTTCAAAAATGACTGGAGTAAATATATAAATAATCAGGTTTCATTACTTTTTCTTAAAGTATGAGAACAAAATCAGACCTGGTGACCAGTTCAAAGCAACACAAAGGTTCTCCTACCAACTTGTTCCTGTCTAAACAGCAGCTTCACACTTCCAACATTTTCAACTACACATCAACATTTCCACATTCATCTCTAACAAATCCCAAGAAATAAGATCTAAAAATATTTTGCAACTGTGTATTTTGGGGGTGGGAGGGAAGAAGTGTAAAATATGAGAGAGAGTTTAGCAAGACAGCTGAGGAACAGCTGAATCACCACTAGCACAAGTTCTGCCCAGTCTTAAGAATCCCAATTGACCCGCAACACAATGATCCATCCATGAAGCATTTTCCAGGTCAGATAACTCTTTGCTTCAGTTGCAATTACCAGCTCTGAACTCTGCTTCTTTCCTTACCTATACCCAGCTTCTATTCCTGCAAGGTCAGAACACTGTTTATCTTGCTTTTATTCAGATCCAGTTCTTTGTCTCAGTCTCAACAAGTGGTGACTGCTTCATTTAGTCTACTATTGCTGCAGGACTCGGGTCAATATCACTTCATGCTCACACAAGCCTCACCACACCAACCAACACTTCTACCATAGAAGGCAACATTCAGATTTTCCTCTGGTCATGAGGTTCTGTCACAGCTCAAGTCATACCATGTGCACACACGAGGGAAAAGAATAACTGAAGACTTTTCAACTTAGGTGTCACTAAAACACAAGAACATAAAAGCATTTCTCAAACTTACAATTAAAACTCTTCCTGTCCCAATGGGCTTGAATTCCCAGCCTGTATTTAAATTGATAAATCCATGCAAGGTCCTTTATCTCGGACTTGAAATGAGAACTGTTCTAAGCTCAAAAACTGCAGTTTCAAACCCAACCTTAACCTTCTGTCCTGAAGAATTCTACTTCCTTATAAGGGTTTACATTTAGGTCAGAGATTGCTACAAAGAGTATTTTTTAACATACAAAAAACCTTAAAGCAGTGAAGTAATATTGTTAAGTTCAGAGATGTCCACATTTGAGATGGAAAAAGGTCAAAGCCTTACCTTTAGGTTCTATCACTTGAGAGATCACGCTGCTTCCCCAAACATGGTTGGGTTAAATCAGTTTTTAAGCTAACATGAAAGGCACACCAATTGAAAAGAAGCATTTAAACTGAAAGAGAGTAGATTTCAGTTGGATATAAAGCAGAAGCTCTTCCCTGTGAGGGTGCTGAGGCGCTGGCACAGGGTGCCCAGAGAAGCTGTGGCTGCCCCATCCCTGGCAGTGTTCAAGGCCACGTTGGACACAGGGGCTTGGAGCAACCTGCTCTAGTGGAAGGTGTCCCTGCCTGTGGCAGGGGTTGGAGCTGGAGGAGCTTTAAGGTCCCTTTCAACCCAAACCAGTCTGGGATTCTGTGATATGTTTTTAAAGTGCACGTAACTGAATTACAACAGCATAAGGAAACTGAACCAGCCTCAGGATGTAACATGCCAAGTGCAAGATGCTGCAGTTGATGTCAGCTGATCAACAATGATAAAAACAAATTTTGCACATCCCACATACATCGCAAACAAACTTTTACCAAGAGCACTAATGAACCCCAGTGTTTATAGTTAAAACACATTTAATTAATTCACCTGTTCTTGCCAGATGTATTATATTGCATATGAGAAAAAACATTTCCTGAAAGGTAACATTTCAATTTGTATTTTTCAGCACAAAAAGCCAGACAGGGAGATAGAAAACCAAGAACCACATGTACTGGACTGAGGGGATCCCCACAGCATCAACAGACCTCTACTGGAAAGCTGCTCATCCAGAAGAACAAGTAGCCAAAGCCTCTCAAAAGCCCAGTTACACATTCACTAAGCAAAGAAATACCCGAGCCTCAGCTGAATTTCTGGTAATCATCTCCTCCATTACCAGCACTAAAGGAAGAGATGCCAAAGGCTGATGAAACCGTACAGAATGCCCTGTTCTCTCAGGTCTGGAACTGGTCTCTCCAGGTAAGGATGAGGTGGATGTGCAAAGCCAACAGGAAAGTTTGGGCTGCCAGTACCTTATCTCTTCAGTAGCTAAGCACAGTTCTACTCTCCAATGCCATTATTCAACTCCTTTCTCCTGAAAAAGACTAACCTGTGCATCTCAAAAGCTGTAGTTTCAGTCTGAAATGATTACATTCTTCACTAAACTGTGTTAAAAGACTAAATCCTACAAGCTGGTCCTGCTGCATCCCACACGCTGCAAATGGACATAACTGGGTCACCTAATTTTCCCTGTTTGGCAGGAATAAGGAATGAAATTTAGTTCTCATTAATTTTTAATATGATTCACAAGACAGAATAATAAATGAGAAAGATCTATATATTACAGCCAAAACAGCCAGCCCAGCTTTGCCAAAGCAGTAAATTTGAGTTTAAAAACATTCCCTCCCTTTCCCAAGCAGAAAACTTGGGAAGCTGGTCAGTAAACAAATGGGAAACCTGTCCTGTCCTACAGCACTTGGTGCCCCTGCAGCCGCAGAAGGGCTGCTGATTCCTTGTGCTTTGCAAGGCCCAACATGTGGACTGGGCAGAGCCAAGCATGTCTGACATTCCCATCCCCATCCCTCTTTGTCTGCCTACCAACCCATCTCCTTGGCTGCACATAAAGTATGTGCAATTCTGTCCTCTTGGACAAGAAAGCGGAAGTATCGCCTTCATGCAAAACACTGTAGACTGAAATTACTCCCTAGCAAGGTTTTAAGCTAGATGTATCTACATCTGGTTCCAAAACCACATCAACACCGAAAAACCAAAGTAGAAAGGGATGAAGTAGTTTTACCTTTTCCACTAGCATTAAGGGATGCTTCCCAATCTCTCCTTACTGTTCTGATCCTGAAAATTTCATCATGAAAATTGAATATAATCCTTCCTAAAAAGCAATGTAAAAGACCATACCATCTTTCTCTTCAATTACTGACCCTGGATACAATGGTATATAATGAAAAAACCAATGCTTTTGCAGTGATCTCTCCTCCCCTTTGTTTTCCTAATTCA